TCCAAAGGCCATTACAAAACTCCCAGGTGTTCTGTTGTTAAGGCCCGAAGTCGGGTAAAGCATATTCATCAACCAGGCAAGGAAGCATGCGATCACAACCCAACCACCGGCGGAACTAGCCTAAACCTATAACCCTAAGGCATAACAGGCGGGTGCAGCCAACAGCGCACACCGAGCATGTGACCTGTAGGGCAGCAATTGAACATGCGGAAAGGTAGCCTACATCAGATGAAAGCCATGGCGAGCGTAGTTGCAGCCATCAGTCGCATGACCATCGTGGACCGCCAATGACACGGGTGCAGCCAGCAAGCGCACTCCAGCTTCCACCAGACATGTTTGAGGTTGCTTTTTTTTTTTTTTTGGAAACCCTAGCCCAACCCTCGAAACAGCCCGAAAAGCTCACCGAAACGACAAACGGGTCTGTTTGGAGGTGTCCTTAGACTTGGCTTTGGGCTTGCACTTAGGTTTGGGCTTAGGTTGGGCAGAGCAGGGGAAAACAGAACTGCCACCGCCTTGCTGCACAACCTCCGCAGGATTTGACTCTTTGGCCTCAAAGGATTCCTCAATGGACCGGCTCGTATCAGCTTCAACCTGGGCCATGGAACGCACTCTCGTTTGGGCGTTAAGTTTACGCCCGAGCCCTTTGCAAGTGGACTTCATGACCGACGACGACGAGGTGGCACCAAGTTTAACCATGGCAAGACACTTGGAGCACATAAAGAAAGAACCCTTATTAACCATGTCATGACTGCCATGTATGCCCCAGCAGGCGGGAACCGGGGCAGCTCTGTCACGACAAGGATTGGACATTTTGCGATCAAAAACCTCGGGAGGGTTACACTGCTCCACATAAAGCTGGCAAACGGTGCACTGGATCGCAAAATTGTTGCTGGCTTTGGCCTCACAATCCTTCCAAACATGACCCAGCCCAGGGTCCGGGTTGGCGAGAGCCTCCTTAAGGCGCTGTTTTTTGTTGGGTTTGGGCTGACTGCTGGGCTTGGACCCGCCTTTGGGCTTACCAAACTTACCCTGGGAAATGATCGAGGGCTTAGCATCCTGGGGCGAAGGCTGGGAGTTGAGGCACCTATCAAAAACCCAAGGGAAACCCTTATCTTTTTTGTGCTTGAGGACAAAGCCAATTTTCTTAGCCAGGTGCAGGCAAATTTCTTCACAGAGCCCATCAAGAACAGGAAGATTCGGCTTAGTCGCTGATTGGAACACTTGCGCAGCCCTTTTGCCACATAAAGAATCAACATCCTCGTTCAGCAAACGCCGCCATTCAGGGATGCCTTTTTCAGCATAATAGGAAGAGTCTTTATGACTGGGCACCCAAGTGATATTAGCCCTTGACCTGTCACCCCAAATTTCACCCCAAGGGACCGGGCCTTCAAGGGGCGGCATGTTTTTCCGTAGAATGTGTGTGATTGCCTGACAGTCCACCGTCAAGTCGAAAGCACCGGAGACACGACCAAAGAGCTCAAAGGCAGCCTGTTGTTCCGCACTGGCCACCGACAGGGGCTCTTCGGGAAAGCACGTGATGCTAGCAACACGCTTCGGCCCCTCCGGTGCAAGCTCATATGCCGCAATGGCCCAAGCAACACATGCCGCGCGGTGGTCACGGGCACCTGGTCCACCCGACGCATCTGAAGCAAAAACAAGATTATCACTATTAAGGACCCGTCGGCTGCTCCACAAACCCTCACAAACCAAACCCTTCTGCGTATCCGTACCTCCCAGCGAAGTGGCACGCTGTGGCAACAAACCGCGCAACCAAAGACATGGCCACGGGAAACTGCGGCGGGAGGCCGGGAAATGCGGTGGTTCAGGATACTTAGAAACAAGATAAGGGCAGTCCCACAGAACATGCTGCAAGCTGAGAGGACAGGCACACAGTTTACAGTACCCGGGCTTATTCTGACCTAAAAGTGCTCCTTGCCACAGGGCTTGCAAACTAGTCACCATACTCTTATTGAAGAATTTGCGCTTAAGCAAGCGGTGAGGGACCTTCAAGTCGACTCCAGAGGCTAAGGATTCACAGGCTTCCAGATGAGATATACGAAGCAGCCTAGCGGCCTCCCACTTAGGCAAAAGCCAATGCCACACCCGACGGGTGGCGTCAACACTGGCCCAATCAATGATAAGGAGACACTCGCCGCACGTCCAACGGTGGGACTGGGGCGCTTGCACACCTAAATCCATCAAGTATGCCAAAGTGGCCGCCAAGGGCCCATTGACGCGCTTCCAAGGTTGGGGCGACTCTGAAAGCCAGGCCCAAATGTTGGCCCAAGTCGATCTGAATTTCTCCGGGTCCGAGATCTGCCAACGACGGAAAACCCTGGCAACCGCTCGAAAATGCTGCTTCAAAATGGTGAGGTGCGGGTCCTCACACTTGTGACGCAACAAAAGGAAAGAGACATCAAGCGAACCTAACTTTTGGCGGCCGATGGCCTTGGCACAAAGAGTCCTGTACCACTTACGCCGCTTAGGACTGACGCCTGCAGCCTGATGCCCCCAAAGACCTGCAGAGCATATGGAGGCCCGGGTAATGCGCACTTTATGTGAAAAGTTGGCAAGGCCCAACTTGCGAAGTTTAGACGCCCTGCCACTGGCCTTAGCTCGCCTCATCTCAGCTAAACCCAAAACCCTGCGGCGTGCACCCCCCGATGTGACACCTAAGTCCCTGGCGAAGGTGCGGACTTCAGGGTCTGTGTCAACTCTGACAGCCTGCAAGCATTTAGCCGCTTTAGAGGACGATGCAACAAAAGAAGTCTTATCCAATGACAACTTGGCACCAGTTGCCTCGATGCTGGTACGCAGGCTGCGAAAAAGCAGCACAGCGTCTGAGGCAATCTGCTTGGCCGAGGCACCGACACAGTCAAGGGACAGATCATCTATCCATACGTCCAAATTGGATGTCGCACGCTTGGAAGTGGCCGCAACTGCAATGGGGTGCACAACAAGTTTGCTGATAGACGGGGCGGCCGGGCACCCAGCCAGGACCCCCTTCGTGGGAGTAATGGCCGGGCACAAAGACCCTTCAGATTGAAGAAAACGCGGGCCCATGTAAGTAAGAAGGGCCTGGTGCAATACCAGGGGAGGGTACCCCAAAGAAAGGCCAGAAGAAATGACATCATTAAAACGGCATCTATCATAGAAAGTCTCCATATCAATGAAAATTGTAACTAAGTGCTGACCGGACTGTCTAGCCGCCTCGCCTCTAAGTAAGCGTCCCAAAGCGACGTCCAGCACTTGACTCCCAGGCATTGCCTTATCCCAGACCGCGGCTTTACAGTACTGGAATTGCCAATCGGAGACCAATTTCCACCTCATGCGCACCCAAGTGCGGTAAAGCACGTGCAAAAGTGCTATTGGTCTCTCCCGCTTCTCGCTTTTTGGGAGGAGGGCTATAAGTGCAAACACCATCTGGGCAGGCCAAGTGGCCTCAGTTTCACAGTGGTGAAGAAATGAAATGATGGATGCAACAGCCGGTCGCTGCAAATTTTTTAACATCTCAAATGTCCACCCGTCTAGACCTGGTGCCTTGCTGGGCACTCGCTTGAACGCCGCAACCGCCTGATCTAGGGGAATCGGCCCAAGCTCCTTGGCCTGCATTCGGGCACGTTGCCTGAGATCACTGAGGAGCGCCGGGTCGACCCCACCCGGCGCGGACCAAAGCTCAAACCACTGCCTCCACCTAAGGTAGATGCGCTCCTGCACAGGCTGGTGCAAGAAAGGGCGAAGCTGGACAGCTTCATCCGCTTTAACACTGGTAAAGAGGCCACGCAAGCCTTTACACGAAGCCTGCTTTAGCCACTTACCGTAGCTTGCGCTCTGCTTCTGCATCCACAATTTGGAATGGTGACGAAATTGTTGCTCCGATACCTGAATCAACTCTGGAAAAGCCGAGGGCGTAGCACCTTTAAGAACAGCATCAAGCTGGGCTTGGAAAACACTGAGCTCGGCTGTGGATCCGTGCCACATCAATTCAAGCTGCGACCAAAATGTGTGGCCAAAGGGTGCAGGACAACTCCGCTTCGCCGAAAGTTCCAGCCAAAAGGACCCGCTTCCAGAAAGAGGCCTGAGCCCCCCCCCAAGCACCCACAGGTGAGGTATGGCGCAGGAGTTTGTCACGGCGAAATTTGGGCAGGCAGCCTCGACCTTGAGTGCAGCCATAGACCGATAACTCAACAGAGCTACTGAGCTGCTCAAAGGTATGTGTGAGGGCCGGCTCAGGTATGGAGCCACCCCAGTGCCCGGCACAGGCAGACTCCAGATCAGGCTGAGGGCCAGAGCAACCTGCAAAAGGGGGCTCGAAGGGTTGCGGCATAATGGGCTTCGGCTTGAAACCCACAAGCTGGGGAAACCTCAACTCGCACTGCCTCCTGTCAATGCACCAATGTAAGGCAGCATGTGGAGCAAACGGAGTGATCCAGTCAGCCCGGACCGAAACTCCCAAGGCCAGCCCTTTGGAAACTAAACCAAAATCAATGTTACCACCCCCTGTGCACGTGGAAGCCCCCGTGTGGACCCATTGGCCCCGAGCTTCCTGCGCCAAACTGGTGGTCACCAGAACACTGATGTCTTCGTTGAAGTCGCCTGCAACAAGAAATTCACCTTGCAGCGACCTAAGGAAGGGAATCAAATTGGAAAGAATTATGGCATTAGTCGGGCCCCGGAAACCCTCCCCTGTCTTCAAGTAAACATTGACGAGGAAGATATCAACACCCCGGATGCGCAGAACAACAGACTGAAAACCAACACCTTGGTGAAGGAAGTGGTGGCTTTTACGGACATCAAGGTGCTTCTTAAACACAATCGCAAGGCCTCCTGAGTTACCACCTCCCCCAGTGGGGTGACCTGGCAAGCTGAAGGCCTGATAGCCAAAGGCCCCAACATGAGTGGCCAGCAAATCCCCTTGCTCCTCCTTAATGTGTGTTTCCTGTACCAGCCAGAGGTCTGGCCTGATCCCCGCAAGAAAGGTTGCTAAGGACTTGCGCCACTTGGTGACATTGGAGCTGACTAACAGCAATTTCTTTCCGTCGGCATTGGATTCAAGATTTGCGATGACATCCCTGATAGCCGAGGCTGCAACGTGCCAAGGAACATCATCACCGGCTTCAACAGCAAGCTCAGCAGCAAACCAGGGAAAGGTATCTTCAAGAATATATTGGCCCGCCTCTAGGGCCTCCACAGCTTGAAGCACTTGTACATGACACATATGCTCCAGCCCTTGCAGCAAGCTGGCCCAAAGGGCCGAAACCCCTGGATCACCAGACTGAGCGAGAGCACTGCCCGACCAAGTTGAATGCACAAGCACCTGGTCAGCCTGAGTGCAGCCTGCAGGGCGCACAGCAACGCCTGGTTGGGACAGCGTATGGCTTTGGTCACCAGCCTCAGGGCACGCTGGAACCGGATCATCATGAAAGTTCGGGCCACACCCGGAATTCTCAGACAGCGGGATGTATTGCTCCCTCCAGGGTCCTCGGCCAGCGGCCGCACCTCCTCCTGCGGGCCAATCCTCCGCCTGTGTGATATACCCACCTCCTGGACCCTGGAGGGAAACTCTATTAAGGGAAGCAATCCCAAAATTCCGACCCCCAGGACCCTCGCCCAGCGGGCACACCTCCTCCTGAACGAAACCACCACCACCATAATAACCACCCTCCTCCTGGGCCCTGGGGGCCCTCATGGCATCAAGATTGGTAGCCGCGCAACCCCAAGGCTGCTGGTCCTGGTCAGGCCGCCCGTGCAACTCACCAGTGATGCCGCAATGCCCAGGAGCAGCATCCCAGCAATCAAAATTGGGGTTAGGGTCCCAAGACTGGGAGACACACGGGGTAGGGAACGGAAATGAAAATTCATGGCCAGCTTGCGACCTGTAGCCGTCAACTTCAACCACTTCTGCATGGACCGAAGCAACTGCACAAGGGTCAAGCAAATCACCACCGTGAGAAATCGGATCAGAAAAGGTCCCTGAACCCTCAAGCACGTGTCGCAATCGGCGGTTGAGGCGCCGGCGGGCCCGTCTGGATGCAGGGGCTTTCCGATTCGTGGAAGGCCCATACGAGAATGCTCTGATACATGTAGGCCTCACAGTTGCGAGCTCCCGCGAACCATACACCTCGCCCTGTTCATCACACTCCTGAGCAGCACTGGCAGGAAAGAAACGTGGACCTGACAAGTCAGCGGATATGTGAGGCCGGCCCTCGGTGCTGGTGGGGCGGTCCGCCCAGCGACACAAACACCCTGGGCAGTAGCAGAGTACATCACTGACAGCCGTGGCAAGGTCCTCACATGGACGGTGTACCATGACCTGGCTGCTTGCTGAAAGAAAACTCCTAATCCAAGGAAAATCCTGCTGACCAAGCACTGCATTCTGGCCACAACTCAAACAAGGAGGCCACCCTTGCACAAACTCTTCAAGCTCCGATGCATATCCACTCGCAAAGGCCAAATTGGGGTTAAGGAAAACTCCCGAAGGCGCACACGGGTTCGGGCTAGAAATGGGCCTGGACTCAAGGGTGCCTTCATGCCTCCGGGCGGAAGCACAAGCACTCCAGCACAGTGGCCAAGTGGGCGGCCTGTGGCGGAAGACCCTGGCCGGCACTCTGTAATCAAGGATCCTGGGCACAGGTTGGCCTGAAAGCGCACAAGATTCAAGAAAAAAGCCACGGCGACAATGAAAACTCTCACTCTGACTCGGCATGCAGTGCTGGCACAAAGCTGGCTCGGGAGGCCTAGGGACAAAGGGGGGCACTGACATAGGCGTATGGCAGCATGCACAACACAAGTCCTGACATGCAAGCTGCATCGCCCCTTCTTTCAAGCCCGAATTTCGAACCGAAGACCTAGCAACCCAACCTTGCGCAACCGAAGGCTCTGCCGAGAATGAGTGCGCAGCAAAATGAGGAGTAGCACAGCTTCTAGCCGACGCCACCTGAGAGCAAGGATTACAAACGCACATGCTGCTGGACCCAACGTGGAAACTCACACTTCGTGAGGACGCCAGGGGCGCAACACAGAGCGAACATGTTGTGTTGACAGCGGTCTGCTGGTTTTGCAAAATCTGAGGAGCGGTGCGGGTCTGGGGCCAACAAGGAAAAGCAGGAGCCTCAGGCACATGCAAGTCACTTACCAAGGAACTCGTAACCCTTACCCAGGAAGAGAACCCCGGAATCCTCCGAAAATCCCCGGAACCCAGACCCTCACCTGCATCCTACAGATCCTCCTTCTCAGCGGCAGCCTCTTGCGTCTTTCTTGGCGACCTGGATCTGGTGCCACGCTGTCCGTTCTGCGCTGGCTCAGATTTCTTGGGCACCTCTTGCGTGTTGGGTGCTGCGGCCTTAAGGTCAAAAGCCTGGCTGTCAGGGGTTCCATGTGTGCCGGCACGCACTGCGGCAATCTTTGCTTCCTGCTCTTCAGTCAAGGAAATCCCAAACTTCTCAAGAAACTGCGCAATTTCGCCGTTCAAAGATTCATCTTGGGCCAGGACTTTGGTGGTAAGCTCCTCGCCCGCATCTGCAACCTGTTGCTGCGCCTCTTCAATTTTGGTCTGCAACTGTTTCATCTCGGTCAGTCTTGCGTTGTATTGCTCCTTAGCTTGGTCGATACGCTTCTGCAAGCTAATCTTCTTGTCTCCAAGCAATTTCAGTGCAACCGTGGCCTTACGAAAAGCTGCATTTGCTGCGGTTCCAACTTCATAAGAGGTGGGAGCCGGAGTTTGCTCCGGCGGCTTGAGGCCTGCCTTGAGCATGAGCTCTTTCTGCTGCTCCGTGGCTTCAGACCACAGCTTCTGCTTAGCCTCGCAGGCCTCAGATGCATCCATGTCAACATCAAAATCGCCGAGACCCGGAGGCGGGACAACCGCTGCCGCGGATGGAGGCCTCCACCCAGCTTCTTCGATCGCCAGTCGGGCTTCGGGAGTCAACTTCTCCCACACTGTGTGCAAAGCGAGTGCCGCCTTGCCGGGCTTTCGCTCCTTACTCTGCCTGGGCGGCCTAAATGAGGTCTCAGATGCCTCATCACCGCTCTGCACAAACCTAACCTTATGCTTTGCCTGTCGAGGCCACGCTGCACCACAAACTGCACAACACGGGTGGGCTGAAATGCGATCAGCATACAGCCAGCTCTCTTTGCACTTCCTGCACACGACATACGGCCGGAAGCGCGACATGTCGCACTGACTTGCACCAGTCCTTGTGCTTCTGCTGCCGTCCTTCAAGAAAACTGTACGCAAGAAAGTTTGGCAACAAAGGGCGTTTTTGCAAGCAAGGCCCTCAAAACAAACTTTTCCAAGAAAATCAAGCGATCTGTGCAAGCAAGATGTTTCAAGGGTTGCAAGTTGCGGTGGTGTTCAAGAAAAGTGGCGCACAGAGCGCCTGACAGTCTACGGCTCCCTCCCAGCCCTTGCCGGCTAATCCGGCCTACGACCTCTACGAGGTTACGTTTGGGGTCCTGTTTGAGAGCTCTAGAATGCAGGCCTCAAGGCTGGCCACGTCGGCACCTCAAGTTTGAGCACTCACGGCAACTTGAGCCAGATGGCTACGGAGAGCAAACTTTTCACACCCCCTCATGCCCGAGAGTCCTCTTCACTTCTCCTCAAAAGTCTTCTTCGCGTTCTTCAGGAGACCGAATCCTAAGCCCTCTGGATACACACCTGACTCAGGAAGAGGAAGGTAGTAGTGACCGTGTCCCTCAGAGCACTGAGACGAAAGTCCCCACACAAACTCTGTGCGGTTAGACACAAACCACCATCTTTTCCAAGGTCGTTGGTCACCCTTTTCAAAGCAACAACGATCCACAAGGCAACCCTGATCCAAACGAAGCCTTTTAGAAACCCTCTTAAACACAGTCTCATCCCACAGTCCTGACCTCTCAGGCCACTCGTGAGAAAGCAGAAGGTTCGGGGAGCCCACGTAAGGCTCCAACAGCTTCTCGATCCTTTTCCAGGACCTCTTGTGAACGGCCAGAGCCGCTCTCCACTTCTCCAGGGCCTTTCCTCCCTTCTTAAACCTCAGGTGCCTTAAACCACACCCAGCAGAGCACGGAGTAGACAAGTGAGCATATACCTTAACCTCACCCTCAGCTACGACTCCGAAAACCTCTCTCAGAAGACACAAGCCATTATAGCTCAGAAGATCAACTTCCTTAGTCACCCCAAAGTAGGCGATCTCGGGGACCTTCGAGCAGGCTTTGGACAACGCACTTCCTTCTTCACAACACAGTTCAACCACTACGTACTTAGCTTCACCACGAGCTAGCTTCAAAGCAGCGGCTTTCCAGGAAGGCGGAACAGACGGAGTAAAACGTTCGTTTTCATTGGGCTCTTCAAAAGACACGTGCACCTCAGTAGGCTCACTCTCCCAGGCCTTCGGTTCATCCACAAGGCCAGAGGCATCGTACAAACTAGCCAAACTTTCGTTGGTGGGACTCTTCGTGAGGGCGTCCGCAGGGTTTATCACTCCCGGTATGTGTTCTATAGTAAAACGACCCCTGGCCACCAGCTCCTGAAGGAATGCGGCACGCAGTTCGATGTGCCTCACTTTCCTCAGGAGGGTCTGCATCTTCGATACACAAACCGCCGATTCGGAATCAGAATATCCCTTAAGAACATAATAACCGGTTTCCCTGTCTTTCGGCATACCCTCGCGGATGGTCTCCACAAGCAAAGCAATGTACAACCCTTCACGAGCAACCTCTGTGAGTGCAGCGAGTTCTGCTTCCGCACTGGAGAGTGCGGTAGTCGTTTGTTTCCTGCTGAAGCTTTTCAGGGAACAGTTCTCCCACGTAATGATCCCGCCACTTACCGAATTCAGACTCCAGCTCGCGTCCGTAAAACAAGATACAGAGGCAGGGTCCGCATCATCTTCCAAGATCTCCCTTTTGCTAGGAAACCTCTGGACCTTGTGCGGAAGACCCTTGACCCAACGAAGGACATCCCTCATACAGGTCTCGGCAGCCTCGTCAGGAGCTGCTTGGTGGCGGCCCAGAAACCCACACACAAACTGCAGGTCTGGTCGTGACAGAGCCGCCCAGGCCAAACAGCCCAGAGTCCTTCTGTACCTTTCGTGAGCGGCTGGACTGATCAGCTCAGTCTGGCCTTTCTTCAGCAACTCAGCATAGCGGCGTTCAAGGGAAGGGAGCTTTGGTGCAGGTTTGGTGATTCCGTACTCCTCGCAACAGGAACTCAGGTACTGTTCGTCTAGCCCGAAAAAAACCGTACGTTCCCCTTTCTCACGGCGAAAGATCCGCCGACCGAGAAACGAAACTTCCCCGGGGCAATCTTGAATCAACTCGCCCGTAAGTTTCATTTTGTATCTCTTACGCAACTCCTCATAGAACCGGCGCCCCTCAGCTTCATCTTCACTATAGATCAGCAAGTCATCCACATAAAACAACACAATCGTCAAACCCTTCCTAGTAAGACGACGGAATATAGTTGGGTCCAAACTTGCTTCGAAGTTCTGAGAGCGCAAGTATTCAGCCAACTCGCAATACCAAGATAATGGAGCAGAGCGCAATCCGTTCATCGCTTTACGCAATTTGACGAAAACTCGTTCCCCAGTCCCCTGGGTGCTCACATTATTCGGCAACTCTACGAATTCTGCCCTCGCTACGGGAGCATGCATGAACGCTACCGAGACATCGCAGGACAACACACTGCCACGTCGGCAGAGCATTGACAGAAGCAATCTCAGACCTTCCAATGAAGCAGTAGGAGAGTAGATTCCCTCACTCAAGGTGGTACCTCCCATAGAGGCATAATCCCGCACGACTAGCCTAGATCTATACAGTCCCTTCTTCTTGACCGTGTTGACCCACCTGCTAGTCAAAACTCGCCTGCCGTTTTCCTTAGCAAGACGGCGAGCTTCGCGCTCAGGGATCACTTCCCCAACCTTGAAGGATTCCAACTCTTCCAACTCAAGCTTCATTGATGCGTAAAGAAGATCGGGTTCTAGCTTCTCTCCCGAAGTCTCAGACACAGCGTTCTGAGGAACAGCACACCTTATCTTCGTACCCCCAAACTTCAAATCAAACGACTTTGCAACTGCAGTGGAGGTGGCTCGCAGGTCAGACCCTCGAAACAGGGACTCAAGATAGTGATTCGTGAGCCAGTCTATTTCCATATCCCCCTCATCGTTCACAACCTCCTGGTTCTCAGGCGCTTCCGACGGAGAATAGTCAGCAAGCTCATTTTCAATCATCTCTTCATCACCATCTTCATCCATTCCCACACCAGCCCCCTCATCAGGAGCATCATCACCAGGAGCCTCCAACGGATCAAACAGTATGGGCCTCTCGGGGTCCTCAGTGTCCTGCAGAAGAGGCTTAGCTAAAGATAGCTCTTCCAGGGTCTTGGCATCGTAGATGTCACCTCCCTGAATCATTCTGGCGACGGGGAATATATCTATTTCCCTGCTTCCGACAGGGACGGCAAAGATGCCGCCACCTTTGGCGTGCACCGGTCCCAGATAAACCGCTTTCACGGTCCGGGCGCCCCTGAACTTATCATGGTGCGCCTTGGACTTACTGACCTGAGCTTGAACCAGACACCCGAACGGTCTCGTCCGAGTTCGGTTCACAATCTCCTCATGCAGTCGATCTATGCTAGTGCTCGAATCCCCGACGCTAGTACACCAGAGGTTATAGCACCTAGCAACATAGAAAACACAGGCTTGCCAAAGCAAACCTCCCAAAGGTAACTGATACTTCCCAAGCTCAACGGCTTCCGTTTCCTGCTTCACCTTAGCAACCTCTTTCTCCAGGTCCAACCAAACAGACCAGAAACCCTGCTTCATAGTTTCAACCTGCCGCTCAATCGATCCCTTCGACTGGGGCCTGTAGCCCGGAACCACGTCAATCAAAGTTGCGCTGGCAGGGCTGCTATCGCACTTAGTGAGTTTCTCGGCAAGGGCTCCAAGAGCCGCTTCTTGGTCCATCCGAAATGTAACCGCTTTACCGACTAATCCCATTTCGCGAATCACACGGTTGATGTTGTGGAGCAGGTCAGGGTCATCGAGGTGCATCGCAGGAAGAGAGACAGTATACTTAGAACCGAGGTGCATCATCAAGAGTACCCTCAGTTTTCCGAAATAGAAGAAATCAAGACCTATGGTCTGGTTCTCTCTGCAGCTTCCTCCTCAAGCGACGCGCCGGAACGCGCCCTTTCGAAGAACAACACGCTTCACAATTGGAATCAAACGGAAAATGCCCTCGGCTCCGATGATTATACAACGAAACAGAAGAAAGAGGAACCCTCAGGTCCTCCTCGTCCTCAGGTCCAACCGGGTCGTCAGGTGGTGTTGGACCCTTTTCTTTTCGAGGTTTCTTGGAAGAGCCAGGGGCAGACCCTAACGGTTCAGGGTCCTCATCAAAGATTCCTTCAGGATCTAAAGGATTACGACTAGAAGCTTCAGGTTTTAAGGAAGTTTCGGGAGCAGGTCTCGAGGAAGGTTCGGGGTCTAAGTCAAACGGATCAGAACGTGTACCGGTCCCCGGCGACGGTAAACCTCTAAAGCGCACGGCTCGGAGCACGTGCTCAACTTGTTCCGTCTTCTTTGCCGGGGCCGGTTCATCATCTCCGGCACAAAGCATGCCAAACATGCCGCAACATGCGCACTTTAAGTTTTCACAGACATGCTCACAAACGCGCTGCCCAAAACCTTTCACCTCACGACTCAAAAGAAGTTTCCTACTCACCTCGACGCGGGCCCAACGGTCCCGCAGCTTAATCCTAAAGTAGCTTCCGCGTTTTCTAGAAAACACCCTGTAGAACTTCCGTGGCCTCTTTCGCGAAACCACTTTCCTGAAACACCGAAGTAACCCTGAAGAAACCCACAAAGCTATACCACAGAAGAGGCTGTAGACCGTCAGGAGGAGCACGATGATACCAAGATCCAGTCCTGGCGTGAAACCATTCCTGAAAGCGGCCGTGGTTTTAAAGGTGCGGGTTTCGAAGGTAGGAGGGTTCGAGGTACGTTGGGTTGGTTTTCGAGCAAACGCAACATGCCACAGACCATGCCAACGCTCATGCCACACAACATGCTGCTGCAAAACGTGCTGCTGCAAAGTGTGCTGCTGCAAAGCGTGCTGTTGCAAAACGTGCTCGCAAGAAAAAACTTTTGAACTCCAACCCCTCGGTGCGGATCGCCGCAGAGTCACTCCAAAAACCTCTGGCCCTCTTCGAGGGCTTGCCTCACCTGCGCAGTCACTTGACTGTGGCTTAAAGATGGCGGGCTGAGCACAAATGCCCGTTCCTGGGCAGTCTGTCCTGTGGCAGAAGCACTCATAGCTCTCGGAGGCGTTGGTAGCCGAGATCTTTTTGGAACCGACGGCGGGATGTTCACGCCGTGTCTTTGATACTCTGCATCCTCTCCGGAAGCGTAGGTGCTGAGACCCTCGGGAGATTGAATGCAGTAGCCACCAGTTCTCCAGGTGGCATCGAGGAAGCCGGGCTCGGCGGTGCCGGCTGTCCCGCCTCGGCGGGCTGATTTCCCTCGTCGGCCCCAACGAAGCCATCCAATTGGGACAGCCTCTGGCCTGTAAGTTCTTCCAACGTGCGCCATATGGCGATGTCGGATAAATCTTCTTGGCCCTGGGCCCTGTTCAGCGCCGTAACTTCTCCTTCTCCAAGGAGCAAGGACTCCTCGTCGGAGCTCGAAGAGGTGGTGTCCACAACACCGCCCTGAGGGATCGCTGCCGATTTGGCCCTTGCCGCTCGCATGGATTCCCGGGCCTCGTGGAGGCGCTCCTCCTCTCGTTTTCGCCTGTAATATCGGGCAACACGGAGATATATGCCCGAATCTAGGTATGCCCAAGCCGTTTTGAGCTCGAGCGAGGTGACAGACTGGGGCACCTTTACGAGCAGACTCGCCCGCGCTCCCACCAGTCCCCTGTATCCAGCAGGCGTAGCCAAATAGGTTTGCAGTACAGCTCGACAATGGAAGATATAGTGTAACATTGACACAGGGTTGGGTTCCTGGAACCTTCGTTTCCACACTGCCCGAGCGGCCCGTGGAGCCTCCAGAAGTTCGGTAACCCTGACAGCGAACTCCACGTCTTCCATATGAATCCCGTACTCTGCTAGGCTCTTGCCCTCTAGGCAACGTCCCAACCAAACCTCCCATTCCTGCTGCCCAATGATACATTGGGCTTCCGATTCCACCATCTTCGGCCTCGAAACCCTCACTGGCTCCTCTGGATAGGCCGCTGTCACAGGAATCACTGGAGTGGCTGGTAGCCAAGCAGCTGGATGCTCTAGGTCGGGCAGGCCTATCGGACCAAGCATCGTCGCCGTCGGAGAGCAAAGTGCTCTCAAGGCGTGGCCTGGCGCACAAAATGCCAGGGATGGGGCATCGTAGGCATCGTTCATGTTCGCTGGAATCCCCGCCAAGTGCGAGAGCAACGGAATAGGCTCGGTAGAGTCGACCGAGACCTTTGCAAGGCCCAGTGTTTCCGCATGCTCCCATCTGCGGCCAGCCTCCAGCCTCAACGCTCTCAGGAGGAGTTGGGTTCCCACATCCACCTGAACAGCACCAAACGGAGGGCTCAGCGAGCCCGGCGAGATATTCGCCGGGATTCCAACCCGCGGTGGCGTAGGCCCCTCGACCTTTGAAGGAACCCCAGCGCGCAGGCGCTTCGAAGGATTCGGCCACTGGGTGCCCCAACTCTCCTCCCCTTCGCTCTCTGAGAACAAAGGGCTCTCTGCAATATCCGCCTTCGGCGGACTCCTCGCAGCATTCTCCTCCACAGGGCTTCCAGCAGCATCTGCCTGCGAAGGGCCGTCTGCAGAGCTCTCCGCTGCTTCCGTCACCACTGGCGACGGGTAGACCGCCACCGGCGACGATGGTCCCCCACCCGGCGGCTCGACCCCCGGTAGTTCGAAAGAGGGGCTCTCCAAAGCCGGTGGAGTAGGCGGTTTCCCAGGAGAGCCTGGGCTGCTCAAAGCAACACTCGGGGTAAACTTGTCCCCGCTGGCACCGTCCATTATGATCTCCAAAGGGAGACCTCTCTTCACCAAAGAGAAAAACGGCTGCAGATGAATCGTGCGCAGTGCTAGCGCAAACATTCGGCAACATCAGCGTTTGCAAAATCAAGCCAAGCATGCCAACATGCCACTGTTTCCTAGGTTCACGCAGCTGTTTCCTAGACTCACGCAGTTGCTTCCTAGGCTCACGCATCTGCTTCCTAGGCTCATGCCGCTGCTTCCTAAGCTCAGGCAACTGCTTTCGCAACCCTTTTTCTACCCTCTTGTGGCTGAAGGGTCTGTCTTCCTCACTTGCCATCAAGCAAGACCCAACCAGCTGCAATGCTACCATCAGCATCGCTCTCAGCATACTGCGAATCTGGAACTTCGTCGTGGGCACGTAGCCATTGCACCCCCGACCAGTGTTGGATACAGGCCCAGCAATAATGATGGGTGTGCGCAGGTTTGCGTCTGACGCAGACCTGCTTTCCGCACACTTCGCACCGGCACTCGCATTCTGGCTTTGATCCGCCCAGATAGTTTCCCATAGCAGGAAAAAGAGGCGTATGCCGAGTCTTTCTGCAAAAACCGTAAGGGTAAAAGCCCGCTTGAGCACAGCAGCAAAAACCCACTGCGCTTGCACAACCATGTCCATCATGAAAACATGCCATCGCAAAACCATGGAAAAACATGCCAAAAACATGCAAAGCACCATGCCAACATGCGACTGTTTCCTAAAATCAAGAGCCATGCCAACATGCGACTGTTTCCTAAAATCAAGCGACATGCCAGCATGCAACTGTTTCCTAACATCAAGCGCCGTGCACTGCCTAAAGTCACTAGACTCTTCTAGAAAATCACAAAGCTCAATCTCCCGTGGTGCAGGCGCTCTTGGAGCAACTTCCGCCCTAAGACCCCGAAGCAGAAACCCAAAAGGAGTGGCAGCCAAAGCGTGGCGGCCAGACTCGTCTTCTTCCGAAGTCTTTCTTCCTTTCTTCAGGATTCCTTCTCCAGGCTTCTGGGGTCCTGCGGTGGACTCCTTGCTCGATCCTAGCAGGTCGCGGTCCTTCAAGGCATCTATCTCCATATCCTCGATCCCTTTCGGGGGGCGTCTGGAAGAATTCTCTTTCCCCCGGCCCTTGGACCTCCCGCTCAGAGCCCACCAGGCGCGCGAAGCGCCCATCAGCTTGATGCTCTTCTTTCCGTTTCCTTTGTACAATCGTGATCCCGATTTGGCTAGATAGGTTTTCCAGCCCCGTTCCGACCCGGTCCAAGGCGAAACAACGTTGAACCCAACATCCGCCACCAAGACCTCTTCCAACCTCAGGAAAACATCTCCAAAATGAACCTCAAGGTCGACAACCCCCGAAACGACGATCGCACCACCCGAGGCGTTGAACAGATTGGCCGTTCGGTCGTACTTCTTGACAACACGAAATCCTGAGAGATGTTTGTCTGAAACAATGTGGCAGGTGGCTCCACTATCGACTAGCCACAGGTCCCCAGGAGTAGTCTCGAGGGCCTTGCAGACATGAGCTACGTCGCCGTGCTTCAACACACGGGATCCTAAGGAGCCCATAGACTCAGAACCTCGACTCTCAGACCCAGGCGACCCTTCGGGTCCTGAACCCGGCTTCGGAACTACAAGGGCGGACGGCTCAGGTCTCTCAGGCTGGCTCAGAACACGGCGTTCCGCAGAAGAGGGCTCCGAAGAACCACGCCCAGGACAGGAAAACCTCATCGCCATCACTGTTGCGCTTCCTCCCGACTCGGCCTCGGACTCCGGCTCTGTCAAGGAGCGTCCCTTTCCAGGCTGTCCCTTCTTCTTTTTCTTCTGCTTCTTGCCTTTGTCCTTTCCTTTGTCGCCTTTTCCTTTGTCGCCCTTGCCCTTCTCGGAACCACGAGGCGTGCCAGATCCCTTGGGAGTCTGGTCGCCTTTGCCTTTCGGCTTTCCTTTGTCTCCTTTCCCTTTGCCCTTCGGAGCACCACCGCGTTCACGTTCTTCCTTTTGGCGCTGCCAACACTTGTCGGCTGTGTGTCCCTTCTGCCCTTCTTCCCGCAGTAGTCGCAAAGCTTCTCCTGCAAGGCTCGGCCCGAAGACCCAGGGGCCTCACACAGTCGCAGCTGCTCCTCGTAGTAAGTCAGCGTCCTTCGAAAAGCTTCCCAGTTCGAGCTGGACCCGTGCAGTACCACGTACTGACGCACTTCTGCACCCAAGCTCTGCAAAAGGACAGAGCAGCGGTCAGCCTCAGACAGCTGAAGCTCCGGAAAGTTGCTCAGCTTCGCTTCAGTCTTCGAAAACGAATCCTCAAGATGTCGAATCAAGTCGGTGGGCCTCTTCAGATGCCCAACGTGCTGGTACAACTTCAAAGCCTGTTCTCTCACGAAGACAGCTTCCATCCGCGACACGATGGAGTACTGAGAGGTAATCGTTCTAATCACCTCGTAGCCGCAGGCGCTCTGCCCCTGCCTCCTCGAGCAGGACCTCAAGAGCTCGCTTCCCCGCTCCCACTTGGCGAGGGACTGCGTCAAGTAGTAGAACAGCTTGGAGCTACGCGCTGCAGTCTCGGGATTCAAGTCAGCTTGCACAATCTCCTTCTTCACAGGATGCAGAGCTGCAGTTCCCGAACAAACGCTTCTTCCTGCAGGGCAAGCCAGGAACTCAGCGTCTCCATAAAGGAGTGCCAAGTTTCTACCTCCTTCATGCGCCCTTTCCCCATGCCTTGATGGTCTATCACCGGAAGGTTCGGCAGATACTTCTCTGCACGGCCTCCAGCACCAGAGTACCCAGAGGAGACGGAACTGCCGGAGAAACTGCCGAACTCGCGGCAGAACTGCTCGCGGGAGCAGTGCTCGGCTGGAAGGGGTCCCGAGTCTCAGCTGCCTTTGCTGCCTGCTTGGCCGCTTTTCTCTTCCGCTTTGTTCCTTCTCTCTTCCTCCAGATCCATTCTCCGGAGCATCGTCGCAACGAGCTGCTGGTTCATTGCCATCATCTCTCTTTGCTGACGAAGCAATTCCATCATGAATCCAGGCATCTGCTCAGGCATAAAACCTGCAGAACCAGAGCTGCTACTCGGAGCAGCAGCCTTCGGACTCTGAACAGGTTGCACAGGAGGCACAGTAGCACCAGTCGGCGAACCCGCCGCTGGTACAGAAGGCTGTGCTTACGTAGGAGCAGGAGCCGGACCTTGGACAGGAGCAACAGATTCGCTCCCTGCTGACAGCCGCTTCAGGCGCTGCCGCAGCTGGTCCCGAACTCTCTTCTGCAGTGGCGTCTCAACTTTGCTGAATAAAGAGGAATGACGCATGCAACTGTCCTAACACTTCTCAGGACTTCTGTACTCACTCAAACAGCAGGGTCGGCGGAAAACAGCAACTGCAGTCAGAGCACGCACTTCTTCAAGGATGCCCAAAAGCATCTCTAGTGCTGTAAGTGCTTATCACGGTCTTCAAACCAACTGCAAACATGCCAAAACATGTGTTAGCCATGCAAATGCCTGTTCAAGCTTCCAAAACAGAATAGTTCAAGGCAAAAAGGATGAAATCCTTTCTCATGCGCAAAACAAGCATGTCGGCACTCAAGGGCACACCTGAAAGGAGCAAACTTTTCACAAACCCGGGTCTGGTTTGACCCGAACCCTAACCCACGCAGCCGGAGTTGAGGTGGAGGTTAACTGAGGTTAAGGTTGGAGTAACTCGAATCCGAACCACTCGGACACAATGCGTACTCAAAGTTGTGCAGGCGGCCTTCCTGCCACTAAGCGTGCAGAATCGTCTGCTGTTCCTCGAAATCGTCAGTGACGGCTCCTTCACCATCGGCAGCTCCGTTACTCGCTCCTTCCAGGAAGCTCGAAGTGGTTCAACTAAATGGGCTTCCATGCAAAAATTTCTTTGGAAATAGCTTTGTTGTTGTTTGGGAAATCGGTTTCAAAATTCTTGTGAAGCGATGTCCGAGAGTGCTAAGGTTCTGCACTTCCACCAGACTTGCTTGGATGAGGAAGTTTTTTACTTGCGTGTTGAAAGATCTGTTCGGGAGGGTCGCAAGCACGACGGAAAGGTCATTGTAGAGGTCGAGCAGCATCTGAATAAGCACCAGTTTGGACGCCACCTTCCAGCAAAACAGGCGAAGAAGGCAATGACAGAGCTGGGAATTCCGGCGGAACACATTCCAAGTGATCGAGCTTTAGATGGTGTCAGACACCGACATTTGGAAGAGAGCAAATCCTATGACGGCAAGTTCGTTTCCAGATTTGCACCCGGAAGAGACACCTCTGGTTTCAGAAGAAACAGTTCGGGTCTTGTTCTACGAGCAAGAGAATTTGGACGCCGTGATTGCCTACCTTCGCACACAGGATCGGTGTGCTCGTCATGGATGCCACATTCAAGACCAATGTGCAGGATCTTGTGTTAGCTAGCCTCAGACTGGTCATCTTGGACCAGGTTGGCGGAGTGGTGCGCAATCGATTCTGGCCGGTGGTTTGTGCTGTGTGTGACAAGGAAGACGAACCGTGTTATGCTCTCTTATGTCGATCTTTCCAGAAGCTATTGGAAGCTTCGGGTTTGGATTGGCAGAAAAAACAACCACAAGCTTCAGAATCATCAATCTTAAGCGATGTCCGGTGCTCGTTCGATTTTCCAGCCAATCGCAAAAGCAAGCAACAGACGCTTCAGGGTATCCAAGGTCTGCTGTTGAATCGCACTTAAAGGGCACCACCGACACAAGCATGGCCAGGTGGCACAGTCGGGCAACTAACCGGTTCGCTTGTTCTGGCAAGCTCCGACGCAATGGCGCTGTCGTTTCATTTTGATGTGCTAGGATTCTTTGCCAACTGTGTGATGCCATCTCACCCCCGCGTTCCTCGACATGGAAACTGGTGACGAATGTGGTCATGGATGGTGCAGGCGGTGCCATCAATGCCACAAGTGCATGCTATCCAGACGCTACTTTGCACCGGGACTTAGAACACATAAAGAAAGACGTCAAGCGCACCGGGAGCAAGAAGAAAGTTGACTCAGAGTTGACATTGGAGATAACGGAAATCATCCAGTTCAGCGCGAAAATCGCACATCCACTACAGTTCCATGTCATCTGGGAAGACACGTTGCGAAGGCTGCGTGACCCCGAAGACTGGAATCAGGACAGCGCAGTTTGTGTGTGTGTGTGTGTGTGTAAAGTGGATTCCTGAGCTCGCTTCATAGACTATTTTCTTCGATCTTGGTAGCTGGGTTGATCGACTAGTTTCTTCGATTTTTTGAGCTGGCGTTATAGACTATGTTTTTCGATCTTGATAGCACTGGGTTGATAGACCAGAAGGCTGCTGCTGGGAAAGCTGCCTTGGGGTAGCGCAGCGGAGCTTGTAGGTTTGCTTGAGGAGAAATTCGCGGATTACTTGGAGAAGTGGGTCTTGCAGAAGAAAGGCTTGTGGTGGAGCGCAGATTGGCAGAGTGGTCTCGGTCAAGTGTGCCCGGGTTACGGTACTTATGTGTCGAATTCCCAAGAGCGGGCTTGGCGTTCGATCAAAGGTCTTTTCAAGAAAGGCTTCCGACACCAGGATGTCAGCCAATTGGTGCGTGAAACAACAGTGACCCTGCAGACTCTGGTGCGCGGAGGACAGTATGCCAAAGCATGCTTTCAAATCGAGGAGCCTCCTGAGTCACTTGCGTACAGTGCGAAAAGGTTAAAGTCCGAGCAAGATGATGAAGGAATCCAATCCCACCGGCTCACATTGGACTTGATGCAGCAGTGGCGAGATAAGGAAGGCATGCGGCATGTGTAGTGAGTGTAGTGTTCCCAAAAGCAGTGTTGGTGCTTGGTTAAAACAGTGAAGTAGTGTATGCTGCAAGGTGACGCAAACACCTTTCTCAAGTACGAGACTGCGGGCCGCATCAGGGTGGACTGTCGGACGGTGGACATTACTTCAGTCATCGTTATGCCAAAGTACAAACTGGAGTATGCCAAGAACAAGAAAACGGACATGGTGCAGCGGTTGGACTTGGCACTTTGTTCTTGGTATGAAGATGGTGAAGCTGCTTTTCGCACTGCTTTGGGAAACCCAAGGCAGTGGTCCTTTTCCATGCATAAAAAATTGTTCTACAAGTACACTGTGATGTATGTGCTTAGCACGGGCCGTGTCGTGGATGAACATCCACATTTTGTGCACAGTAGCTGCAGCGAGCAGGCTTTCTTTTACAAATCCGTGTTAGGCGGCTTGAATCTCCACCCCATTGCAAGGGGCCCCAAGACTCTCAAAGCCAGGCGTCCACGGCGGGACAGGCGAACCGAGGAGTTTCGCAAAAAAATGCGTACTCCTTCGCCTTGATCCTACCACAGCTGACTCCCGCTTCGCGGACCGCACAAAAGATGTTCCACCTGCGCCTGCTTTAAGAGCAGATCGGTCCGAAAGTGTCTGTTCGGAGCCGATTGTTTTGCGTGTTGAATGATTTTGGACATGTGCTTTGACGGATAGGAGAAAGTGCGGAATTTGATACCCTAGTTTACGGCTGCGGGATGATTTGGAACGCTGTGTTATTGGGCTGGGTCAATGTCGTAAGTACTTGGATGGCGCTTTGCGGCGAGATCAACTCGGAAAGCAGTCAGATGTTTTTATTTTGATGCAATGAAAAGTCAGATTTTTTTATTTTGGTGCAAGCAGAAGCTGCGGAATGCCAAGGCGTGAGTGCCTGAAGCCTTCGTTTGTCCCACGGCCTTGTAGTGCCTTGTAGTGCTTTCATGTCGCATGCGGAAGTTTGCCAACGAAGTTGTTTTCACGCTTGTAATAAGTACTTGGATGGCGCTTTGCGGCGAGATCAACTCGGAAAGCAGTCAGATGTTTTTATTTTGATGCAATGAAAAGTCAGATTTTTTTTTATTTTGGTGCAAGCAGAAGCTGCGGAATGCCAAGGCGTGAGTGCCTGAAGCCTTCGTTTGTCCCACGGCCTTGTAGTGCCTTGTAGTGGGTTTTGAATATTGGGTTTAGGTTTCGGGTTTTGAATTTATGGTTTAGGTTTCGGGTTTTGAATATAGGGTTTAAGTTTCGGGTTTTGAATATAGGGTTTAGGTTTCGGGTTTTGAGTATAGGGTTTAGGTTTGGGGTTTTGAATCTAGGGTTTAGGTTTAGCGTTTAGGTTTAAGGTTTTGAATTGAGGGTTTAGGTTAAGGGTTTAGGTCTAAGGTTTTGATTTAGGGTTTAGGTGTCAGGTTTTGAATTTAGGGTTTAGGGTTTAGGTCTCAGGTTTTGAATGTAGGGTTTAGGTTTAGGGTTTAGGTTTAAGGTTTTGAATTTAGGGTTTAGGTTTAAGGTTTTGAATTTAGGGTTTAGGGTTTAGGGCAGGCCCAGGCAAACGCTCACCTGTGCAGGCAAGCGTCGCGCAGAGGCGGGAGCTGCGGCCACTCACCTGTGCAGGCAAGCGCCGCCACCAGCAGATCCGCGCTTTATTCGGAGGAGGAGCAGGCAGATGATGCCATGGGCACGCCGGACGGGAAGCCAACTTCCCCCGCAGACCACACGGAGGCCGAGGCGGAGGAGGAAGGACCGAAGGAAGAGACCCGGGAGGCCGCCCTTTCGCCACCCAGGGGCGAGGGCGTTACAACACCCCTCACCTCCGACCTGGCCGACACAGAGGAACCCGTCACGGCAACTGCCGGCACAACCGGGGCCAACTTGGCAGCAGAAGTGCCACTTTCCCCACACACTCCCCCTCTAAGAAGGCGACCAGAGCAGCCGCCGCAGCAACCGCCTGAGCACTCAGCTCAGGCCAGCACCCCTCCTCGGAGGGCAGGATCCCCGCCCCCGCCACCTGAGCATCCGCCCCGAGCACGGAGCAGGCCCCACCCCCAGAGCCGGCTCAAGGGGCACGGATGGGTCCCCCGCCAGGGAACGACGACTCCCTTCTGGAGGCGGAGGCCGAGAGCCCGGGAGAGGTGAACCCTGATCCCAACTCTCCCACCTCCGGAGTGGCTCTACCGTCTCGACGTGGAGTGCCGGGCAGGAGGGCAGCTGCAGGTCATCAGGTTGCCAGTGCCAGGACATGCAACCACCAGGGAAGTCCTGGAAAGGTTGCACATGCGCACGGGCTACAACTTGGGGGCCCTGCGTCTCTTCCCAGAGGAGACACCTATCCCTCTGGGAGACCCCTTGTGTATGAGGGTGCCATCGACCACGGCCAGGTTGTATGCCACACGAGCTGCATCAGGACAGCACCCCCCCAGTGGTGAGTGTGGACATGCTCTGGTGCATAGCGTGTCGTGTGAGGGCACCCAGCCCGGAACATATGCAAGCACACCTCATGACGGCAGCTCACGTGCTGGCCGTCGCAGAATACCTCGCCTCTTTCAGGGGGCCCCCGGAGGGCTAGAGGTATGGGATGTTTCGACTCCCTCCAGGACGTGCTTCACTCCTGGTTTGAGGACGTGTTACACTCCTCGATGTGCTGCCCTGTCAGTTTTGCCGTAGAGCCGTAGCTCAGGGCGGGGACGTGTCACACTCCCCTGGACGTGCTTGCACTCCTTTGCACATCAGGGATGAGCATCTCTCCCGTAGGCTGTAGCCTCTTCCGCCCACGGGCGATGCCCTCCAAAGGAGGATGACCGTGCAAGGCACGGTTAATTTGTTGCACGACGATGGCCCACGACAAAAGGAAAAGGAAGATCTTTTGGAAAAAGGAAAAGGATATGGAAAGAAAGGAGGAAAAAGCATCAGGCAGGCTGAAGGGAAAGGCTACGAGAATGATAAAGGAAAAGGAAAAGGTGGACAAAACGGACCTGTGTGTTTCAATTGGTAAGACTGGACATTACTCTTCGGAGTGTTGGTTACCACCGAAAGGAAAAGGAAAGAAAGGAAAAGTTCGCAACGTCCAAGAGACAGGCGAGGAAGAATGGTATGAAGAGCAACCAAGTTCTTCTACACAGGCACAAGCAAGACCACCACAAGGAGCAAAAGGAAATGAGCAAGTGCGTAGGTTGGTGACAACGCCTATGCCAGTGATTGAAGAAGTGTTCGACGATGAAGAAGAGTACGTCGATCTTGTAGGAATGTTTGAAGAGATGGTGATGGACTATGCAACAAGAGCAGTGAAGGTAAACACAGTTATCTTCATGTCAAGCATGGTCGATGAGAGTGATGAAGAAGATTATGAGAAGGATGAACTTCACAAGTGGTATGAAGATCTGCAAGTGGATAAGCAGAATGCCAGTCAGGCAAGAGAAAGAGAAAGACTTTTCAGAAGCGTTCAAGATGAAGAGCCAGAAGTGCATCGAGTAAGAGCTATCAACTCAAGCTATGAAGAACTAGTTGAAGTCGTGTTAGACAGTGGAGCGGATTGTCATGTACTTCCGCTATGCTACTACAGTGAAGACTTAGGAACAGTTGAGTTCGCAGCTTTGAGAATGGTCATTCAAGATGCTCAAGGCAACAGAATAAGGACCACTGAAACAAGAGCGAACATCACGTTTGAATTCCAAAGAACAGATGGAAAAGTGATAAAGGTAAGAGATTCAGCTGTGTTCGGAGATGTAACACAACCACTATTTGCAGTAGGCAAGTTGTGGAAAGTCGGATGGGGACTTGATCCTCTAGACCAGTTCAATGCTTACCTGAAGAAAGGTTCAGCAAAAGTGCCCGTGAGGTTTGCAAGAAACTCAACAGTGACGGACCTCAAGATCTACAGAGCACAAATGAAGGTTGAAAGTGATGAACCACAAGTGAGGAAGCTTACGCTGATCAAGCAGATGGAAGATGATTTCGAGAAGATGAAGTATCATCAAGGATGGTTTTTCATGTCAGATGGGAAGCCAGCAAGGATCGATTATGACAAGTATGTGACTTATGACCCCACGTATGATGATGTGAAAGCATTCAAGTTCAGAACTACTTTGGTATCGAGGTACGATGGCGACAACATCGTATGGAGCGAACTGGAGTTTGTGGAGTGTGCTGAGAAGTGGGAAGACCGAGAAGAGATTGCGATAAACGCAGTTGAAGAGAACTCGGTGATCATCACGATCTTGGAGAGAAAGTCTCTGGGACTTGAAGAGTATGGTGATTATGAAAGAACATCTTCAAAGAAGAAGAAGAAAGAACAAGAGAAAGAAGTGGGAGCAGCAGACGTGGAAATGGAGGTTCACAAAGAAGTAAAAGATACAAAGAAGAACGTGGAGCAAGTGGAAAAGGAAGCAGCAGAAGCAATGGAAAACTTGTTTCCAAGTGAACCACCTGAAGAAAAAGAAATGAAAGAGTGGAAGAAAATCGAAGAGCAACTGCCAAAGTTAGGAGAAAAGATGGAAGAAGCTATGATTGTGGCAGGAGTTGAACTCAGCCCAGAAAGTTCACTCAAAGAGATGAGAACAGCATGTGAATTCCTGAAGATAGGAAAGACTGGAAGCAAGACTCAGATATGGCAAAGGTTGAAGCAAGCTATTTCAGCAAACAAGATGAAAGAATTGGTTGAGATCTCCAAGGGACTAGAACTAGAATTCACAAGAGAACCAAAAGGAGAAAAGAGACCAGAGATGCCAACTGAGGAAGAAAGGAAGAAGCATGAACTGACGCACCTACCGAAAGCAGATTGGTGTGAAAGCTGTCAAGCAACAAGATCAAGAGAAGACAATTTCGATGTATCTGAGAAGAAGAATGAAGCATCGTTAGTCTCAATGGATTTCAAGTTCACTGGAACTCGAGATGAAGAGAACACAAAGGACAACAAGGACGCATTGACAATCGGACTTGTGATGGTTGATGAAGCAACAAAGTTCGTACATGTCATTCCAGTAGCGACAAAAGAAGTGACCTCGAAGAAGTCTGCAGAGTACTTATGCTGTTAAATTCGAAGGTCATTCTGAGAACTGACACAGAACCAGCAATGATTTCCCTGAGAAAGAAAGTACAAGGGATACGAAAGATGAAGAATCTTGATACAGAGATACAAGATGTAGCACCAGATGAACATCAAGGATTGCAAGTTGAGAGATGGGTTCAAACAGTTCGGAACTTATCTAAGACACTGGTGTATGGAGTTGAATCACAAGCGAAAGTGAAGATTACTTCAGAAAGTACGCTGTATCCATGGGCAGCAAGACATGCAGCATTCTTGCTGAATAGGTTTGTTGTGAAGAAAGGATCAACACCCTTTGAAGTGCTATTCGACAGAGAGTACAAAGGAACATTAGCGCCATGGGGAAGCGTAGTATTGGCAAAGCCTGTACCAAAAGTTAAAGAAAAGGGAGAAGCATGGAGAAAAGGAATCTTCGTTGGAAAAGACTCGGTGAACAACCTGAATCTGATAAGCACAAGACAAGGAATCATCAAGAGCAGAACGATAAGAC